ATTTGCAAAAGCCTCCAAAGAAGCACCCTTCCTTCTTCCAACCCTGGCCAGAAAAGTGACGAAAGGGGGGAAATATAGTTCTTCAATTTTTTTCCTTCCAAATCAAATTTTGTTCAGGTTTTAGGCTTTATTTCTTTCGGTACTTTAATTGAAAAAAACGGAGGAGTGGAGGTGGAGATTGGAGATTTATCACAGTTGATTTTGAAAAAAATGGAGGAGATTGGACGAGAAGAAGGTAGAGATGAGACAGTGCTTGAGTGAGAGAAAATAGGGGTGGAATAAAAATGGAAGTTAGGATATTAACAAATTTGAAACCCTCCATTAACGGAATATGCGCGTCAATTAATTAAAAGATTAATTGTTTAATTAAAATGATAAAAACCTGAAAAATGAATAAATAAAGTCGAAACCTGATTTTTTAAAATGTAAAACTAAAGGTCTGGTTTTATGTAATTTCTATATCAGAATGAGACCCAATGTACCCAGAGCCCATTCTTGATAAATTCGTTTCTTGGACTCACCCAGTAGGAACGGACTCAATTGTTGGGCTACATTGTCAACGTTATAGGTACAAGCGAACAGGACTGACAGAGACAATCTGCCACGTCATCCTTAAAGTCGCATATGGAACCACGCGTCGAATATTCATAGGTGGTTATAGCCTTAAATCCCCCGCGACTTTTCCATTTGACGTTAACACGAATACCAAGACAAAAGGGCAAAGGCCAAGTAAAAACAAAATAGAGAAAATATTAAAATTTTGTTACTTATATAGCTGTTCCCATAGTCCACGACACATTTTTTCGTAAAAAATGTGTCCGTCGTGTTAATTAAGTTTAGAAAATTCACTTATAATTTATTTATAAATAATTAAAATTTAGAGCTAATTACTTTTCGTTTCATAAAGATAGACTTATTTCAATTTTCATAAAGAAATAGTAATTATATTGCCTCCACAATTTTTATTTCATAATCATATTTTAATTGAAATTAAGCTTTTCAATATTTGCTTATTATAACAATTATTTTTTAAACTTTTTTAGTCAAAACTCTATCTTCAACCTTCCATTAATTACTACATCTCATTCTTGGTAATGTTTTATATCAAAATATTTTGTTTTCATATTTTGAAATAAGTAAAAAATATTTTTCGCATTTTAATTAATTTATTTTTCAAAATATGATAAAAATAA